ATAGTACCTGTTGAAAAACAAAATGCTGGAAATTTACAGCAGGTGCAGACCAACAACATGTTTGAAGTCTTAGAGGTGGAAAATAATGAAGATAATGCCAATAATCAATTGGCATTGGTGGAGGATCAGGGAACTCAAAGGTTAATGCCCAATGCAAAGGGTGGAGGCATCCTAAATCCTGCAGCAGCAGTGTTTAAACCTACTACTCATGGGACAGTCAGGGGCAAGAATGGAGGAAAGAAGAACACAGGTAATGTACCAAATACTAGTGTTACAGCAGCAAAGTTAAACACCTCAAAGGAAGATGAGAGAGCAAAGAGTAGGGAAATGGAAATTTATGAAAATCAGGTACAAGAATCTACTGCAGCATGGGTACAAAGGGCCTTTATTGGCAACATTGTGGCAACAAACACATCAGTTCAGGAGATACCCTCACAGGATACAAGAGTTGATTTGGCACTTACAAAGGAAAATGATAATGATAACATAGAAGATGCAGACTTTGAAATGTATAAAAACAGTGACAAAGCAAAATGGAAGGGGGGCAAATTGTGGTCTGAACAAGTTGAAGAAGATGCAGAAGAAGGAGTCATTCCTGATGTAATGCACAGTGAGGAGGAAGCTGGAGGAGTAGATGAGGAAGAACAAAGTGTAAATGGAAATGCCAAAGGTAAATCAACTTCTGAAGGTCAAGGTTTATTGAATATTGTGGAGACTGTGGCAACTAAAGAAGTGGAGGCTGCCAACATTGATCCAGGGGGAACAAATCCTATTGGTTTCTCTAGTCCAACAACAGATTCCATACCTCTCCAAAAGAACAACAAGGATCAGGTTATACAGCAATCCCAGAAGGATTTAAAGGTGGTAGATGCTAATGAAGGAGAAGCAGCAGAAGTGAACAAAAAGAAGCAGATGCAGGAGTTAACTGGAATGATAGATCCATTGGCTCTTACACATGTGCAGAAGACTAATTTGCAGGGTGATCATGCTGCAGTCATTGTTACACAGGTTACCAATAATGTAGTGGTTCAAGAGGATAAGAAGAGTCAGGAACAAGTGCAAATTGCAGAACATAATGGCAAAGATATGGATGAGGAGTCAACTGCTCAGAACTTCATAAATGTAGCAAAACAAGGAGATCTTTCACCTAGGTATATTGAGCAAGTAAAATCTGCAAATAAAGGTAGAAAGAAGCAGGCAAAAGAAGCATCAACTGGTCCAGCAGTAGGTGTACAAACCAGGAGGACTTTATCTAAAAATCAAAATCAGTAATGGAGGCAATAATTTGGAATGTAAGATCAGTGAATACAATGCAAGCTTTTGAAAGACTGATCTTAATGCACAGGCAGCATCATTTTGAATTCATTGGAATATTAGAACCTATGCAACAGTCAAACAAAATGGAGAGATACAGGGCAAGAATTGGTTTGGCTCAGGCTGTGGTTAATGTATCTAATAAAATATGGGCATTCATAGATGAAGTGTATGAGGTGACAATTCTGTACAACATGACTCAACAGTTGACTCTCAAATTGTTTCACACAGAAACTCATATAGAGCTTATACTTACTCTAGTGTATGCTAAATGTGATGCAATAGAGAGGATAGAACTATGGGATTCTCTTTATGCAATGGCTACTGATATGACTTCTCCTTGGCTTGTGGGAGGGGATTTCAATGTTATATGGGATGAGGAGGAAAAGTTTGGTGGCCTCCCTGTTCATTTAAATGAGATTGATGATTTTAGGCATTGCATTAACACTTGCAACCTCACAGATCTGGGTTTCAAGGGAAGTATTTACACATGGTGGAATGGAAGATCAGAAGAGGATTGTATTTTTGAAAGACTTGATAGATGCTTGGGTAATTTAGAGCTGCAGCAAACTTTTCCAGGACTTGAGATTACACATTTATCAAAAATTGGATCAGATCACTGCCCACTGTATCTGAAATGTGACATTGAATCTGCTCCAATTAGGAAGCCCTTTAGATTCCTCAACTTCTGGACTAAGCATGACACTTTCAAAGATGTGGTGAGAGAAAATTGGAATGCAGATTTTGCTGCAAATCCTTTCATACTGTTCAATTATAAGTTGAAAAAATTGAAGAAAGCACTTTCCAGTTGGAGCAGAGCAACATATGGAGATATCTTTCAGAAAATTGCCAGTTTAGAAGAGGTTGTTTTAGTACATGAGAGGCAGTTTGAGGCATTTCCTACTCAGATGAATAGAGAAAGGTTGCACAAGGTTAAGGCAGAAATGATTAAGTATCTTGCTGTGGAAGAAGAATTTTGGAAGCAGAAAGCAGGCATGTTATGGTTTAAAGATGGGGATAGAAACACAAAGTTCTTTCATGCTCAAGTGAGGGGTAGAAGAAAGAAACTACAGCTGAGAAGGATACAGAATAACATGGGCATCTGGATAGAGGAGGAGGAGCAAATTGCAGAAGAAGCAGTCAGCTTTTACAAGGACCAATTCACAGAATCAGTAGTACCTTCAACCTTTCACATCATTGATCATGTTCCAACTTTGGTGGAGGAAGAGCAAAATGCAAGATTAACTGAGTTACCAACAAAAGAGGAAGTCAGAAAGGCAGTATATGGATTGAATGGGGATTCAGCAGGAGGACCTGATGGCTTTACTGGGGCTTTTTATCACACATGTTGGGATATTGTTGGAGAGGATATTTATGCAATGGTGCTGCAATTTTTCTGTGGCCAACAGCTACCAAAGTGTGTGACACATACTAACCTAGTTCTCCTACCAAAGAAAAAAGAGGTGACTACTTTTTCAGATT